CCCGGCTTCCTCGTCGCCCTCGAACGTCGTCGCTGCCGCCGCCACGGCCGCCGCGACGAGCGGCAAGTACGCACGCAGCCTCACGGCGCTCGACGAGGCGCGCGCCGAGTCGAAGCGCGTGCTCGACGCCCTCGCCGTCGCAGCCGCGGCAAAGGGCAAGCCGTCCAAGCAGGACGGCACCACCGCCGCCGCATCGCTGCCAAAGCTGGCGTCGAGGTGGCAGGACAAGACCGGCCTCCAGGTCTTTGCGCAGCGGCTGGCGCGCGATGCGGTGCGCGTCGAGCAGACGGCAGAGAAGCTGCAGAAGGCGCTCGGCGCTCAGGCATAGCACGTCCAGACAGCTCACGCACAACAGAAGGACAAGGCAGGCAGCCAGGCAGCCAGGCAGGTAGATTGGTATATCGGGACGAGGGCTGCGTCCGTGGAGCTGGGAAGCGGTGTATAAGGGGCTACATGGCGGGAAGGGCAGCGCGCGTATGCGAGGGGACGTGGGCGACGCTGGTGCAGCAAGGGAACGGAGGTGGGTGGGGCGGAGGCTAGAACTGGTGGTCGAGGTCCATGACGTCTGGTTGTCTTGCCGACGTCGTCGTCGTCGCCGCTCCCGACGACGTCTCTCTGCGGCGTCGCTGCTGCTCAACAAAGCCGTCGTCATCGTCGAACCCGGCAGCGTGCTGCCTCTGCCTGCTGGCGTCGTAGGCGTCGAGCCTCGCCGCCTCTGAGCGCGGCGGTGCAAAGAGGGACCGTTCCGGGTCTTCGGGCCCGTCAAAGTCGGAATCGGAGCTGTCTCGTCTCTGCCTTGAGCCAGATGTGGATCGAGCACGGTTTGAGGGCGAGGCCGAGTGCGGGGTCGCGTGCGAGAAGACGGGCGCGCCGCCGGTCAGTTCCCGATCCAGCTCGTCGCCGTCAAGTGGTGTGGTGCGCGATGCGTAGCCCTCGTCGGCGGCGGCTGCGTCGGCGTGGAGCGAGGTGGCCTGGCTCCTCTTGCTGCCGAGGCGCGGGATAAGCCGCTTCTTCCTCGACGCCGTCGAGCCGTACCCGTCCTGTGCGTCGACATCGCCGTAGGTCTCGGCGTGCGAGGGCGTGGGCAGATCCGGATTGTAGAACTCCTCCTGCAGCACGGGCTGCGAGGGCGTGCCCCGTACCGGCTCTCCGCGCTCGTCGAGGGGCGGCAGTTCGACGATGCGGCCCTGTTCCTCGTCCCAGGCGACGCGCCTCTCGCCGTCGCGGTCGCGGTACTTGCCCACCCACGCCCTCTTCTTTTCCTTGCGCTTGTAGCCCGTCTCGTCGACGAGGCCGTAGCGCCGTGCCCACTTTGGCGTGCGCGCCGCATTGTCGTTGTTGCGGATGTTCTGGATAAACCAGTTGTGGATCTGGCCCGGTATCCAGCCGGCCACGGTGAGGGGAATGTTGATGGCGAGGTCCTTGCCCACGCCGAAGCGCACCAGGACGGCGATGGGCGGCAGGATGAAGCCGAGGATCCAGATAAAGGTGGTGAAGCCGTGGTGCGCCTTGGGCGTAAAGTCGATCTTGCCGTTCTCCTTGCGCGGGATGCCGTTTCGTAGCAACTTGGACATTGGTGGCGAGGTGGTGCGCAGGTAGTTGCTGCCGGGTACGCGGGGCAGGCTAGGTGAGGTCGGCGTCGGGGGTGCCAAGGGGGATGCGTGTGGCGCGGGTGGCGTGGCCGTGTGTGGCGGGCTAGCGTTCGTCTATGAGTCTATGAGGAGAGCAGGGATGGTCGAGGCAGGCGCAAACGAGGGCCGATGGGCTGGATCCAGCGTGAGGGTCGAGCGGTGCGCTGTAGCGATGAAGGGTGATGGTGGCGAGGGAAGGTTCGGCGGCGAGGAGGGCAGAGGAGGAAGGAGGAGCTGATGGCCAGATTTAGCCAGCCAGCCAACCAGCCTGCCTGCTGACGCTGCGTGGCCAGGCCAGGCCAGGCAACCGGCGGCGCCAAGACGAGGCCGGATGTCGGTCGCAGCGCTTGACCGTGGTCGCCCGCTCCTGCTTTGGACCAGGACCAGGCCCGACCCGATGGCATGAGTGCGGGCTGGGCCGAAGACGACGTGCGTCTACGACGACGGACGCGGGACGGTGCACAGCGGGAAGGAGGGGGGGCTGAGGCGATGGTCGAATGACGGGAGAATGGGGTGGGCAAGCGAGACGGTTCTCGCTTGCGACGACGGCCACGGTATCATGCTGCTGGCCCAGTGTAGCCTAACCAAAAGCCTGGCCTGCCCTCCTGGCCTGGCCTGGCGTGATCTGCCTGCCGTCCATATGGGCCCCTGAGGGCGTGACCCGACGGAGAAACGATAGGATGGGAGGAGGCGCCAAAGGGGTAGGGCTGTGGAAGCCGTGAGCTGAGGCAGGCGAGGATGGAAGAGGCGGGGGATGTCAGGCCGTCAGGGCAGGCGTCGAGCGGAGAGAAGCCGCCAAAGCATGCAGCGCCAGCGTCATTCTACAGCCGCCGCCGTTTGGCCAAAGCCTTGGCAAGCGCAGACAGACGAGGCAGGGCAGAGCAGGGCGAGCGAGAGGAGAGGCGAGGCGAGCCGAGGCGAGGCGAAAGTGACGAGGCGAAAGAGAAAAAGCCGTCCCCGCCTGCCTTCCCGCGTGGTTCCTGGATTCGGATTTACGGGTCCGACGGGCCACCACCACCCGCACCCGCTCCACCACCAGCGCCGGGCCAAAAGGGGACCGCTGCTGCACCTTAACTTTTGCCATCAGCCCGCGCTACACCTGCTACGCTCTGCTTTTCTGGCAGGCTTCGAGGGACAGCAATGGGTCGATTGGACATGCGCAACCACAGGGGGGAGGCGAACAGTGAAAACGAGGGGGGGGGGGGGTGGGATCGATACAAAGTACACGCCGATTAAAGGGGACCGCGGAAGAGGGCTAGCTACACGCCGAGGGGGGAAAGGGGGCGAGAGCAGGGAGAGGCGGGACAGGGAGAGGCGGGACAAGGAGACAGCGGGGCCGTCGACCGGCGCAAGAAGGGGGGAATGCTAGGGAGCTGGTACTGTACAAACATGGTGAGAGGGTGGGAGGGCGATCGAGACAAAGGTAGGGAGACACAGAGAAAGAGGGAGACAAGGTATGGAAAGGAGGCAACGAAGCGAAACGAGGGCAAAGCATCAAAACGACGACAGGTGCAAAGCAATGCGAGCATGCAAGCAACCCGCTCTCCACCTGCGAGCCTGGCCGCGAGGCACAAGGGAACGGTGACAGGAAGAGCGTGACCAGGTTGCCGCGAACAGGGCGTCGTAGGTGGGGCCCGGCAGTCGACGGGACAGCAGAGATTGGTGGTGGTGGAGGCTGGGATGGAGGCCAGATCAATGGTTGTAGAGCACGGTTACGCCGACGCCTCGTTAGCGGCGACGGCATCAGGCGCGCCTTCGGCAGCCGCCACGTCCTCGGCCTCCTTGGGCGCGTCCGCGCCATCCGTCGAGGTCGTCGCCGGCTCAGCCGCAGCAGAGGACGAGATCGACGTCGGCTGCTGGGCCTGGCCGTTGGGTTCCGACGGGAGCGTCGCATCGTCGCTTTGGGCGCCACCGCCGCGGCCTGGCGCCGATGCAGTCATCGCCGCACCGCGTCCGCTGCCGCGCGGTCGGCCACGGCCCCGACCGCGAGTGGCGCCCTTGGACGTGGACGCCTTGCCCGCCTCGTCAGAGTCACCCTCGGGCGGGATCGTCGCATGCTCCGAGGCCGGGCTCATCGCCGCGTCGAGCAGCAGCTGCGCCTCGGATAGCGACAGGCTGTCACGCACGCTCTTGCTGGCCAGCGCCGGGTTCGACTCCATCGCTCGGCTGCCCAGGCTGGCCATGGCCTGCAGGGCGTCTTCGGCCTCGCCACCCTGACCGGTGGTCGCGGCGTAAGGCTGCGATGCCGAGCTAAACCCGCCGAGCACGGCTGCAGCCGCCTCTATGGCGTCGTTCGACTCGCTGGAGGAGAGGTCCGGCTGGAAGCTGTGCTGGTGGCTGCTCGCTGCAAGCAGAGCCGCAGCGCCGCCATGCGGACCAGGGAAGCCAGCGGCGTAGTTGGCAAAGCTGCCGCCGTTGCCCCAGAGATTGGCGGCAGGCGCCTGCTCCTTGTCCAGCTGGATGCCAAGCGCATCAGTTCGGGCCGGTTGAGCACCGCCTTGCTGCTGCTGCTGCGCCTGCTGCTGGTAGTACGAGTCCCCAAACTGCGCCTGCAGGGCCGCCTGCGCCAGCGTCATGGCGGCCTCTGCGTCGGACGCGGAGCGGTTCATGCGCGTCACGACCGCCTCGTCTTGGGCGCCGCCTGCGGCCTTTTTGCCGGTGTTGGTGCGCTTGCTGGGCGAGCTCTTGCGGCCGCTGCCGCTAGCCGCCCGCTTCCGCCCTGCCGCGCTGGCCGGGGTGCTCTGCTCGGTCTTGGACGACACGTCTGGCGACGCGCTCGCCTTGGAAATGTCCTCCTCATCTCCCGAGACGTCCTCGTCGTCGTCCTCGTCGTCCTCGGAGCCGGACTCTTCGCCGTCGCTGACGCTCGCGCCGGCTTCGGACGTGCCGGCGTCGGCTGTCTTCTTCTTGCCGACGCCGCGGCCCTTGCCTCGGCTCTTGGGCTTGACGTAGCCCGGCTGGTGGCAGCGGGCGTGGCGGTTGAGCGTCGTGCGTCGGGTGAACATCTTGCCGCACTTGGGGTGCTGGCAGACGTAGGGTCGGCGGCCCGTATGCGTGCGGCGGTGGCGCGCGAGCGAGCTGCTGTCCGAGAAGCTCTTGTCGCACCCTTCGAATTCGCACTGGTGAGGACGCTCGCCCGAGTGGACGCGAGAGTGGACAGTGAGGGCGGACCGCTGGATGAAGCTCTTGCCGCAGCCCGGATACTCGCAGGGGTACGGGCGCTCGCCAGTGTGGATGCGGCGGTGGCGGGCGAGGTCGGAGCGTCGGCTAAACGTCTTTCCGCACGACTCGCACTCATGCAGCTTCGGGCCTCCAGCGTCACTCTCGGTCTTGCCGCGGCTGGGCGAGGCATCGGCATCGTCCATCTTGGCTGCCGTCTTCGAGGTCGAGGCTGGCGTGCTGCTCGCCAAGGCTGCGGCAGCGGCACTCGTGGCTGCTGCGTCGGCAGCGGCGTGGCTGGCCAGCGAGCTCAGCGCATCGCCCGACGCGAAGGCGGATCCGGGCAGGCCGGCGGGGTTGTTGTAGCTGCTGTAGTTGTAGTTGGGGTAGCTCGACGAGGTAGCGCTGGTGGCTGCCTGTTGCGTGGCCTCAGTTGCGTTCGAGGCCGATGCGCCAGCGGCACCCGACGGAGATCCGGCCCCCTTGGCGTCCGAGTCGGTGGCGTTCTTCTTCTTTCGGCCGCGCTTGGCAGGAGTCTTGACTGGCGTTGCCGAGATCTTGGGCATCGACGAGTCCTTCTTGGGGCGCGGTGCAGGGGGCTGCTGCAGCGTAGTGCGATGCGATCCGTCGTCTTCCTCGAGCTTCGGTCGCGCCGAGGAGCCGCCGTCCGGTCCAGAGGACGCCTGCGGGTCGACGGTGGCTGGCGGTGCGTAGGGCGTGGGGCCATCCTCGGGTCCTCGGTAGGGCCGGGCGAATCCGAGGTTGGGCGACTGGGTGAAACCGAGCCCGGTGGCGGGCCTGAAGCTCTGCGCATGCGCCGACTGCGAGTAAGGCGGGAAGCCGTAGGGAGGGGCCCCCTGTTGGTAGAAGGCTGAGGGCGACGGGAAGCGTTCCTCGTTGGAGCGCTCGCCGTGCTTGCTGGACTCCTGGACGGCAGCGGCGGCATTGAGCAGTGCCACCACGCTCTCGGCGTTGCCACTGTCGCCATAGTGCAGGCTAGGATCTCCAGCAGCATGGCCGCCGCCGGTAGCGCCGATGCCAGTGTCGAGGTCGATGGTGGCATAGTCTCGGGCCGCCGAGGAGGCGAAAGGTGAGCTGCGGGCCTCGGTGTACCACGGAGAACCATCGCGACCGGTGTACGAGCTGGTGGCGGCATGACGCCAAGACGAGGCCGGGGGCGTGGCGCGATAGCCGTCGCGGAGAGGGTCGCGCTTGGGGCTGGCCACGTAGGCATCGCCAAATCGCGGCGAGCTGGCGCTCAGCGGCTCTGCGCCCGAGGCGCGGCGGGTATTGCTGGCGGCGATGGCGGAAACAGGGTGGAGATCTGAGTTGGCGGTTGTGGCGGTGGTGGTCGTCGAGGAAGGGGGGGGAAACGCGGAGTGCAGTAGCGGTGAGAAGACCATGTCAGTATTGATGATGCTCGAGGCGAGCGAGAGGAGTTCGGTGGAGGCCGTCATCTTGAGACGAGGCGGCAATTCGTCGATATCGTCGTCGTCGTCGTGGTTCGCGACGGTACGTCAAAGCAAGAGGCGAGGATCGAAGCAGGAGAGAAGCAACGTGGCCGAAGGCAGACCAGGCCAAAGGCGTCGGAGAGAGCTCGAGCAGCGGGATGTGCGGATACCGAGAGGTAGCGCGGCGACGTGGACACGCTCGACGAGGACCACCCGAGGCTAGGTCTGCGATCGACGTGCGTGCAGGGCAGGCAAGCGATGGCGATCGTGCGAGGGGCGAGGGGACGAGCGCAGGACCGAAGGAGAGACTGTCACCGCCTTCGTCGATGATGAGGAAGGAGAGGGAAGTGGTGCTGATGGGGCGAGGAACGATGACGAATGGCGAGGGACTCAGGAGCGGGCGGGTGAAGGGTGGAGGAGGAGGGGAAGGAAGGGAAGGGGGGCAGCGGGTGGTAGGTGCGAGACGGAGGGGCGCAGCTGGACGGGCAGAGGCAGGCGCAGGCGCAGGCCAGGCCAAGCAGAGACAGGCAGGAGTGGGGCTGGGGCCAAGGCGGCGGCAGGCCGACGAGGGAGGGGCTGTCTGGCTGGCTGGCTGGCCGGCTGGCTGAGGAGGGGAGCGGCGAGTGGGCGGGCGGGCCAGGAGGCACGTTCGGCGCTGGTCGAGCCGCACCAGCGCTGAGCCCAGCCAGCGCCGCCCTGACTATTGGCCTGGCCTGGCCTGTGTGGCCGTTTCTTTTTTTCCCTCGCCTGGCCCAACCGCTGGCCCTGGCAGCGAGGACGGGCAGGCGGGCAGGCAGGCGGTGCGTGCGCGGCTACGCGGGCCGGCCGGCTGTGCAGCAGCCTGTGGGCCCGCGCATGGGGCCTCTGCTCTGACGCCTCGGCTGCCGTTTTGGGAAAGCCGAGGCAGGCTGACCTGGCTGGCTGGCCGACCGCATCTCCGCCGCCGCCTCGCGCCTCACGCCTCGCCTCCGCCAGTTCACCAAGACCGCCTGCCAAGCGGCTGGCGCCCGTCGCCTTCCCGCTCGCTGCCAACCCAAATAATGGCACTTGGAGCAAGGTGCGCTCCCACGCCCTGCGCTTGAGCCTTCTGCTGTGGTGGCAGCCAGCAGCATCCGACGGGCTCGCCTCGAAATGGCCTGCCAGCAGCAGGTCGAGGGCCGTCGAGCGAGCATGACATCGAGCAAGATCGTCTCCGCTCCTGTCGGCACCCCTCCGCCGCTGGCCGGGCTTGGCTGGCCGAGCCCGGAGTCAACGAAGCGGGCACCCCAGACAGGACGGCAACTCGCCGACTGAGCCGTCGAGCGGTCGCCGTCATCGCCTGCAGCGGATCCAACCGCTGCTGCACCGCCAGCCAGCCTTTGATGTACCACCGACCACCAAGCGGCCGCGGACCTCACAAAGGCTCGAATAGAAGGGGGCGGAGGAGTTGGGAGAGAAGCGCAAAGCGTGCGACGGCCATACGCAGCGACGCCGTGAACCACGAAGAACCGGAAAACCGAGGCAAAGATCGAGAGCAGCCAGCGGCAGCACCGACAGCGGGCGGGCAAGCAGGATCGGCTCGGGCAAGGCGATGGTGTACGAGCCGTCGTCGAGCACCGCCGGACGCCGCAATGCTGCTCGTCAAGCGTCGTGCTCGGGTCCCGAATCGCTCCGCTGAAAGCTGGGCCGTCTCGTCAAGCCTGAAGCCAGGCCGCCAGGCGATGACCGATTCCAGACCCGTCCCATCATCGCGCTGCCCCTCGTTGACGCCGCACACTCTCCCGCATTTCCGGCTTCTAGCTTGCGACTTGCGGCGACTGCCGCAGTGGCTCAGCCTGGGCACGGAAGCCGGCGAGCCGCAGCGACCGATGTTCCACCGCCACAGAGCGCTGCGCAGTCGCTATCTGCGGACCCCGCAAGGACATGGTGATGCCTCTGCGCTTCGACGTGGCAACAGCCGTGGCAGTAACGCTTGTCGATCGCAAACGCCCCTGCACCGTCAAAACACCCGCGGGAGTGCGAGAAGCTTGGCAGACCCGCCGCAGGGAAGGCAGCAAGATCCAAGCAAGTCCCAGCACGCCGTCGGACGCTGCCGAACCGCAGCGTGGCCACAGGCTCGCCTGCGTTCAGCCACGACCGTGCTCGGCCGGTAAAGGCAGAGCGCCGGCTCCACCAGGCAGAAGCTGATGTGGCTATGAGCGCATTGGCGGCGAAGCAACGCCTGGACCTTGCCTGCGGCGAGGTCCAGACAACGACGACTGCCACCAACGACGACGAGATCGACGAACCGACGCAGACGAAGAATCGGGAAAACCGGAAACGGGAGCGTACTCACTCTTTGTATCCAAGGTCGGGCGAAGGGCGGACCTCTCGTTGGACTCTTCGATGTGCGAGTCGGAAGCGTGGCCGTCGGACAGAGGACGCTTGCCGACAATCTGGAGCGCGTTGGTGCTAGCTGGGCCCGCTTCGTCGTCGTCGTTATCGTCTTCGTCGCGATGCGCGTTCCGGCGTGCACGCTTGCGGGCCGAGGCCCTGGAGGCGTCGCTGCGATCGCTGCTGCCGGAAGGTGAGGGCGAACGCGAGCCGCGCGAGTTGGGCGAGGGAGAAGTGGGGCGCGAGGCCGAGGTCGGATAGGCGTTGTGCAGTGCCGATGTAGCGTCACGGCTGAGGGAGCTGATGCGCGGGCTGCCGAGCTGGGAGAAGCGAGCCACGGAGTCGCGGTAGGGCGAGAGGGCGCCGGGGAGGTGATGGGTGAGGAATGGGCGAGGCGAGCCGGTCGGGGAGCTGGTGCCGAGCGGGTGGCTGGACGAGAGCTTGGGCGACGAGTAGGTGTGGTAGGGCCCCGCCGAGGGCGGGAGTATTGGCGGAAGCCGACTCATGTCGGGCTTCGCGTCCTGCGACTGTGTGTACCGAATGGTGTCCGCCTAGGCCGATGGCCGAGGAAGGTGCGGAGGGGCGGCGGAAGCGTATAGCGATGCCTTCGTCGACGATGGAGGGGTTCACGTTTGTGAGGAATGTAGTCACGTTCCTGTCTCCAGCGGTGATTCGACTGGAAAGGCCACTGGAAGGCGCGAATGAGCTGGAAGGGCGACGATCCTCGCGGCAGAGGTTGTACCGGCGTCGCCAAGCGCGGGTACGGGTCGAGTAGCAGGCGTGACAGTGTGGCAGACCCTAGCTGGGTGCTGCTGAACCGGGCGGTAGACGTTGAAACTGCAGACCGGTGATGGCAAGGCTCGACGTCTAGAGCATGGTCCGTGCCTGCGAGTAAGAGTCGATGTCGGCGCGAGGGGCCTTGCTTGCAAAGCGACGTCGGAAAGGGTGGGCGCAGCAGGTGGGAGGAGAACAGAGGGCTGCGTATATGAGTGCAGGCCGATTGCGGATGCAGCCTTGCAGCAGCGGTGTCGGTGGCACAGGGGCCTGTTGCAGGCCGGCCGATGGCGGCTTGTGGAGGAAAGGGAGCGCGTCGGCGTGGGCGGCGTAGGCTGGGCCGTGGCAAAGTGAGGGAGGCGACGAGCGCGTCGACGACCGCGTTCCCAGGGGATGGCGAGCGTATGGCGACGGCAGCGGTGGCGGTGACGGTGGATGGTGGTGGTGTTGGTGGTGGTGGCGGCGATAGCCAGGCAGAGTGCGGATGGCGAAGGGCGAGCACAGGTCAGCCAGCATCTGGCGCGGCGAGAGCGGCCAGGGAGAGGGGGGCCAGGGGGGGCCAGGGCGAGGCTGGTCAGCGGGCGCGAACGGGGCAGCTCGCAAGCAAAGCCAAGAGCCGGGCCCAGGCCAAGCCCGACAAAGAGGCGGCGGGCCCGCGGTAAATTTTTTTTTTTTGGTGCAAAGGCCACCCGCCCTCGCCCCCTGCCAAATTTTGAAATTTTTTTGTCCGCCGCCGTTGGGTCCCCGCACAGGCCGCCCTCTATCTACCCTGGGCTGCCCTGCCTGCCTGCCTGACTCGCAGGGGTCCAGCCCTCATGCGCACTCGAGCGAGCCCAAGCTAAGGCAAAGCAAGCAAGCAAGCAGGCCAGCGGCTGCTGCTGCTGCTGCCTGCTGGCCGGAACGGCGGCTGAAGCTAAGCAAGCTGGACAGCGAGGCGGGCAGGCTAGGGTTCGACGGCTGCAGCGGCGAGCGCGCGCACGAACCCACGCACCTGCCCAGCCTTGCTTGCGCCAAAGAGCCCGTGCGTGAGTCACAGCGGCGACGGACACGCACGCGCGGACCGCACCGACCGAAAACGGCCAGGCCAGGCCAGGCCAGGACCAGGCTAAGGGCAAGCCAAGCCGCCGAGCGCGAGGCGTGAGGAGCAAAGGAGAACGAACAATATAATGATAGACTCGTCTCGTCGAGGATCGCGGCGAAGGGGCAGCCCCTCCCTTTGGCATCTGGCCGTATCAACCAGGGGTTCGGGGAATGGTGCGCGATCCGATGGATCGAGGAGCGCGGGCCAGCAGGGGTGGGTATGCCTGGCTCGATGCGGCCAGACAGGGCGGAGGCCGGCGAGAGAAAAAAATCAATCGGACCCGATCTGGGTCGAGGCTGAGAGGGCGTCCCTTGTCGGATCCGACAGGAGCGGTGCCTGCAGCGGGCTGGCTGGAAGGAAGAATCAGGCCTAGCCTGTTGGGGTGGCCTGGGCCTGCTCGCTGGCCGGCTGGCCAGCTGTCAAAAAATTGAAGCACGTACGGTGGGACATCGCGTGCCAGGTCCGCCTGAGCTGCTCGACGCTTGGGCGCCCTAGCCTCACTCCGAGGTCACCAGCGTCCATCGCCCACCACCATCCTCGCCACCTCGCCCACCATCCTTCCCACCACTTCGCTCGCCCTACGCACACACCGAGGTGTATGCGATCACTGCAGCTGGCTATATCCGTCGCCGCATCCGCCTCTCTCGCCCGCCGCATCGCCGTCCTCGCCCCTGGTGCTGCCAGTCCACCGTTTCCGCGGCCACTTGCTAGACCTCCCGCAACCCTCGCACCTTGGCACCGCACCTTTGCCATGTCTGCCGCACCTGCTGCTTCCGCCGTGCCCGCCGGCGTCGACCCGGATGCGCCCGCCCCCTCGGCCGTCTCCAACCGGCCAGATGTCAACCGCGAGGCCCACTCGTTCTCGCGCGCCCAGCTCGAGGCGCTCATGACCAAGCGCTTCTTCTACATCCAGGCCTTTGAGATCTACGGCGGTGTCGGCGGCCTGTACGACTACGGCCCCACCGGCGCAGCGCTCCAGGCCAACATCATCAACCAGTGGCGCAACCACTTTATCATCGAGGAGGAGATGCTCGAGCTCGACACCACCATCATGACGCTCGCCGACGTCCTCAAGACGTCCGGCCACGTCGACAAGTTCGCGGACTGGATGTGCAAGGACGTCAAGAACGGAGACATCTTCCGCGCTGACCACCTCGTCGAGGGCGTGCTCGAGGCGCGGCTCGAGGGAGACAAGGTCGCCCGCGGCGCCGCCGTCGCCGTCGAGGCCGTCCCCGCCGAGGACGCAAAGAAGAGCAAGAAGAAGAAGGTCAAGACGGCCGCCGTCAAGCTCGAGGACGCCGTCGTCGAAGAGTACACCACGATCCTCGCCCAGATCGACAACTTCGACGGCAAGCAGCTCGGCGAGCTCATCAAAAAGTACGACATCCGCGCGCCCGAGTCGGGCAACGAGGTGTCGCAGCCCATCGAGTTCAACCTGATGTTTGAGTCGTCGATCGGCCCCACGGGCCAGGTCAAGGGCTACCTGCGCCCCGAGACGGCGCAGGGCCACTTTGTCAACTTCCAGCGCCTGCTCGAGTTCAACAACGGCCGCGTCCCCTTTGCCTCGGCCCAGATTGGCAAGTCGTTCCGCAACGAGATCAGCCCGCGCGCCGGCCTGCTGCGCGTTCGCGAATTCACCATGGCCGAGATCGAGCACTTTGTCGACCCCGAGGACAAGTCGCACGAGCGCTTCGACGAGGTGCGCGACATTGCGCTGCCGCTCCTGCCCAAGGACGTCCAGGAGTCGGGCAAGACCGACATCACCACCAAGACGATTGGCGACGCCGTCGCCTCGGGCATGGTCGACAACCAGACGCTCGGCTACTTCCTCGGCCGCATCTACCTCTTCCTCACCAAGATCGGCATCGACCCCAAGCGCCTCCGCTTCCGCCAGCACATGGGCAACGAGATGGCCCACTACGCCTCCGACTGCTGGGACGCCGAGATCCACACCAGCTACGGCTGGATCGAGTGCGTCGGATGCGCCGACCGCTCCGCCTACGACCTGACGGTCCACTCCCGAAAGACGAAAAAGGACCTCGTCGTCCAGAAGGCGCACCGCGAGCCCAAGGTCTACGACCGCCTTGTGGCCGAGGTGGTCAAGAAGACGATCGGCCCGCGCTTCAAGAAAGACGCCAAGATGGTCGAAGAGGCCATCCTCGAGATGGACCAGAAGGCGCTCGCCGACCTGCAGAGCCAGCTGAAGAACGGCAAGGCCGAGCTCAAGATCTGCACGGGCCAGACCTTTGAGCTGACGCCCGACGTCGTCAGCGTCGAGATGAAGACGATCCGCGAGACGGTGCGCGAGTTTACGCCCAACGTCATCGAGCCGTCGTTTGGCATCGGCCGCATCTTCTACTCGCTCCTCGAGCACAGCTTCTGGGCGCGCGCCGAGGATGTCGACCGCGGCGTGCTGTCGCTGCCCCCGCTCGTGGCGCCCATCAAGGCGCTCATTGTCCCCATCTCGAGCAACGAGAAGCTGGCGCCGCTCGTCAAGCAGGTGTCGCGCAAGCTGCGCTCGGCGGGCGTGGCGAGCCGCGTCGACGACTCGAGCGCCACCATCGGACGGAGGTATGCGCGCAACGACGAGCTCGGCACGCCGTTTGCGTGCACCCTCGACTTTGCCTCGCTCAGCAAGGGCACCATGACGCTCCGCGAGCGCGACACGACGGCGCAGCGCATCGGGCCCATCGACCAGGTCATCGAGGTCATCCGCAGGCTCTGCGACGGCAGCCTTACCTGGGAGGGCGCCTGCAAGGAGCTGCCCGAGTACAGCGGACAGCAGGACGTCGACGAATAGACGCGCACCGTCTGTCTGGCCTCGCCATCCCCTCTTTCTCCCCTTGTCGACTAGATGCGCGTGTCACCGGGATGCGGAATGCGATTTGCCGTCGGATCGGCCGGCGAGGGACTTCGGAGGTCGTCGACATGCGGTGATGGCGATGCGCGAAATGAGAGGGACTGGTATCTGTGCGGTGGACGTGCGGGGGTATGTAGGACGAGGGAGTCTGAGGAGCTGGGGAGGGAGATCTGAGGGCTGAGAAGGGATGCTTGTGCTGGGTCATTCTTGCGCTAGGTCAAAGGTCGACGACCACGGGTCGAGGAGGATCGGGTGCCGTCCTGGCGGCAGACGCGCCTACCCGTTGACGGCGCGACCCAGAAGCCTCTTGGCCGCATCGACCAGGCTGAACTCGTCGCCGGGCCGGGTGGTGCCGGCCTCCTCGAGCTTGTTGTGATAAGGGGACGTCGTAGCGAGCAGCTTGTCCATGGGCTCGGCGACGCCCTATCGATCGATGAAGGGGTAGACCGTGGCGTCGCATCCTCGCACCCGCAGAGTGGGGCACGGCACGTGGCGGTCGAGGCAGAGCGGGGCTGAGAAAGGCTCGGATATGACCTTGATGCGGCTCGAGATGGTGCTCTCGTCAAAGTCCGTCTTGGTGCCTGGCTCGAGGACGATGCTGAAGAGCGGTGGTCGCCCTGTGGGTTTGGCAACGATGGACTCGAGGCCAACCTTGGAATTGGCCAGCGAACCGACGCGCGGGCCATGGAAGCAAGCCTTGACCGCGCTGGCCTTGGTCTTGTAATTGGCTTGCCAGGCGACGTACGACATGTGGCCCGCCGCGGCATCCTCTGGGATCGAGGAAATCGTCGATGAGCTGAAAACACCGGCGAAGATGGTGCAACTGCGTCTGTGCGCTGAGCTGTTCCAGCAGGGTGCATTTGTCGATGGCCACATTGGCGATCCTGGCCGTCTTTGCCTTCGGCGGCTTTGATCAAGCCCGGATAGACGACGCGAAACCGGTATTCCATCCACCTGACAAGGTCGCCACGGTGCTCTGAGCCGAAGCGAGCTACTTCGCGGGAGAACTGATCAGTCTGGTCGTCTTTCGCGGAGGGTGCTGGACTAGTCTGAGGTCGGACAACGCCGTGCTGTAGAAGCCAGTCCAGCAAGGCCGGCCCGTTGAGGTCCTCAGAACGCTTCCTTCGCTCGTGTAAACGTTGGAAGAGCTCTTGGGAATCCAGAAGGCGCAAAGGTCGGCCATCGCTGTCCTTGAGGCGTTCAGAGAGGCCATGGGGCGGCGTCTCTGTACGGTGCCACTCATATGCTGCCAGCCCGATGAGGTGGTAGTTGAGCGCTCCATGTACAATCGTTTGGCGCCAGTCGAGCTCCTGTTCGGATGATATAGGGCCTGTGACGTTCGCGATCTTTGCTTGGAGTTGACCTAGCTGAAACAGGAGGGTGGCTGCTGCGGTGCTCGAGCTCAACAGCTTGTCGCAGGCTTGGCGGAACTCTTCCGATCGAGAGAGCGTGGCCGGACCTGTCGCCGCCGAGGCGGATGGGCGGGGGGTTGCAGAGGAATCGGGAGCCGGCGCCTGCTCCATGCCGGTTTCCTTGCCGTGCTTCGTGTTGTTGGAGGCGGTGGTGGTGGTGGGGAGGGAAAGAGTAGACGAGCCACGCCGCGCTTATTAAATGCACGGCCTAGCTGCGGGGTCGGGCAATAGGGGTTGGCGACACCCGATTATGGGGACTGGTTCCAAGCAAGGAGATTGCGTGCGTCGACGCACGTTGTTTCAACTAGGAAAGGGCATTCTATTCGCTACTCAATTTCGGACAGCTAGCTGCTCGAGCCATGTCCGATCCCAACCGCCAGCCCCGTCCAGCGAGGAGCTAGGCAGGGAGAAGCCGAGAGGGGAAGCAGGACAAGGCCTCGAGACTTGGGATGGGGATCAAGAAAAATTGGGCTCTTCGGCCTCTTCTTCCGCCGTCCCTCGCGTCCGCCGTCCGTCCCCTGCGCCTCGTCCTCCCGAGTACCACCATCGCCTCGCCGCCGCGACCCTTTCGCCGACCGCCGCCCGATCAGCCTCGCCGCCAGATGGACGTAGGATCCAGGAGGACGAGGGCTCAGGCCGCAGGGATCCGAAACGATGGCCGCATCGAGATGGTCGGGGGCGAGGCGGCGAGGAGGGCGCCGAAGAAGGAGGGCAAAGGGCCAATAGGGTTTGCGGGGTCGAGGGTGTGCGCAAATCGAGCCGAAACTCTACACCGGTGAGAGGCGGAGCAGGTCGCGGCGACGGCGGTGGGGAAGCTGGTCCCTCCTTCGCCGTCGCGCGCTTCCCGGCCCCATCCTCTGCGTGCTCCGAAGAGACCGGTGTGCGTGTCGATCGCCCGCAACCTCTCGGCGCGCCTTGCCCGGCTTCCTCCAGACACACTCCTCTCCGCAACGCCTTCGACCGCCTCGATGCAGCGCTGTCCGGTCGCGACCTCGGCCTTGCTCCTCGAGCCCCACCGCCCGTCTGGCAGCGAGACCGATGGTGATGGACGGTGGTCGACGTGTCGCGACGACAATGCGATGGCAGCCGGGGTCCTTGGTGGCGATGACGAGGACGAAGGGGGGAAGCTGAGCGGGAGGGAGGTGAGAGAAGAGCAGAAAGAGACAAGGCGGCCTCGACGAGAGGGCCCGCATCATCGAGGTCAGATGACCTCTTCACCTACCGTCCGCCTGTGGCCATTCGGGGATTGTGCCTCCAGGTGCGAAGATCCCGCGGTCCCAGCCGACGATCTGAAACCGAAGCCAAGACCCCACCGCCGCTTCGACAACCTTGGCTGGGCCATTCGCCTCCGGTCCTGGTGCCGTCCGTACCTGGTCCTCCGTGCCCCTTACCCTTTGCAGTTGCCCGAGAGAAAGACGAGGAAGGCTGTGGGACGAGTCGCCGTCGGGTGGTCGGATGTCGAACACGAGATGCCGCACGCCAGACGGAGTCAGAGGGCCGCGCTCATCCCCCCTTTTTTGTTGATCGCCGCCGTCCCGTGCCCGCGAGCTACCCCGACCGCCTTCAAGGAGATGGACGAGGAGCAAGGCAGCAGGGACACGGCAAGGTGGAAAAGAAGGGGACGGGGAAAAAACCACCTTTTCTGCGCACGGTGCCCATCGAGATGGTACCGCGCGCACTCTCCGCCGTCGCGAGGGACAGAGCGGAGATGGCATTGGGGGGGGGCTGGCAAGGCGCAGTGACGCTTGAAAAGGGCCTCTCCCAACCTGCTGGGCGAGGGTTCAAGGGCGATGCCGTCGGATTGGATGCGTGTCGCGCCCATCGCTCCGGTCCACACCTCCCTTTCTCAAGGGATCGGAGGTGGAACGCAGAGGACAGGCGCCGAGGATGACCATTTGCCTGGCCGCTGGGGCCGGCAGGCGATCCCGCCTCCCTGCGAGCTAGCACGCCGGCCGTCGCATGCTGGAGGGGCACGCTTCCCAAGATGCTCGTACCACCCCTTGGCTCGACCCCGCGACGCGCGAGCAATCGCTACGTCGGGGGGAGCGTCGAGGGCAGGCAAGCATCTGCGGCCGAACGCGGTGCGGGCCCTTTTGAAGCAAAGGGCTACCGCGCCGCCGTGTCGGGACCGAATCCGGGGATGATGAACTTAGGGTTAGGATCGTCCTTCACCGCTTCAAAACCGGGGGTGCGGGCTACCGAGTGTGCAGTGGCGACCTCGACGCTGGGTCGCGTCGCCAGTTCCGAGAGGGGACCCGAAGCAGGGAGAGCGGGGGAAGCGAGCAGGCACCTCGCCGCTCCGCCTCTGGTTTGACCAGATGCAGGCGGCGGGAGGCCGTGTCGACTCCGCTCCGCTCGCCCGCGGGCCAAGACGCCTCGTGGTGGAAACGCTGCTCCTGCGGCGGGCGAAGGATCGAAAGAGCTCGGGGGAGCGCTATAGCCCTGCTCTGTGGCGGCGGCGGCGTCTCGTGTCGGATGTCCTCTTCCCTACTCGCGGCTCGTCCGTTCCTCGTCTCGGGCATCTGCGTGGGGCGACGGAGGCACGACGGACGCACCAGGACCTTGCCCCTCTTGGGAGCTGGGAGCTCGTGGCAGGTGTGCGCTCAGAAGCGGCGGCGGAGAGGATCGGGACGGCCGGCTGGGTGGGTCCACCCTTGTCTGCACTCCCCGAATGACGGCGGCCGAGGGCGAAGGGGTGATCGTCATCCCTGCGACGATGACTTCCCGTGGCGGCGGGAAGTGAGTGTGCCTGTGCCTGTTGCGTGCGAGACCGGGCGGAGTCAAGAGCAAGAGCCACAGGTGAGCTGGGAGACGGGCAGAGTGCAGCAGCTGCGTCCGGGATCGGGGCAAGGACTGGGTCGCGCCATCGGCCGCATGTTGCCGTCACTCCACTTGCTCACGTTGTGGGATCTGTCGTGGGACGAAGAGTGCGACGCGAGGTCAACGGTCGTCGTTCGTGGCAGTCTGAAAAGCAGATGAGACCAGTCGCATCGGCTCACTATTTCTTGAGGGGAATCGCTTTTGTGTGTTGAAAGTTGAATGGTGTGACGCTCCTTGTCTACGGCCGATGCGGGTTGCTGAGACGCTGCCGTAGCCTCTGCCTAGCTGACGGTGAAGCGCTGAGACTGTCTGCCTGCCTCCTGGTCGACGGAGGTGTCTCTGCAGGTGGGCAGGATGGCGGAGCGCGACGTGCAATGGTCAGTACAGGTCGCTTCTCGCTGCATCGAGCCGGAACCCGCCCGGACGCCCCCGGACTCGGCGCCACGCACCTCCGGATCTCCCAGACGTTTTCGCTGCTTTCCGGGCCCAGGCGCTTGGTGGCCGACTTTTGCGCCTTGCGGTGGATCCACGCCTCGTACTTTTCCTCCTGCGACATGCCCTTGAGCGTGAGGCAGAACTTGAAGTCGTCGAGCTTGTCCTTGCAGTCCTGGCCCGTGCCGAAGCGGTAGACGGACTTGATCTGCGGGCCGAGCGCTGCGTGCATCCACAGGAAAGCCGACGTGGTTCGATGCGAGAAGGAAATCCAGGAGTAAGAAGGCTGTCGAGCAGTCCGACCGCTTCACAGACGAGGCCGGCCGGACGGCCGGCACGCGAGCACCCACCAAAACACGAGGCCCAGCGGTCGAAGCAGTTGGTGCAGCTCGGCATCTCATCGAGCGCCACCGAGGCGCGGTGGAAGGCCTTTTCCTCTTCGACGACCTGGTCAAAGGTACGCGACATGGTGGAGGTGGTGTACAGAGAGGGGCAGAAGCGTCGAGATCGAGGAAGTGGTGGTGATGGTGGTGACGGGGGGTGGGATTGAGGGCGTCGAGCGCGACCGCCCCGAGTCCAAAAAAGGCAAGCTCGTCCTGGCCTAAAGGCCAGCCGCTTTGCATCCGCGCGTCGGACCCGTCGCGCTCCTCTGCTCACCGCCCGGCCTGCCTGACCTGGCCTGGATCCCTGCCTCACGCAGCCGAGGACTTGCGGCCACTCTCTTGTGCGCCTGGGGAAACAGCACCAAAAATACAAAAGAATTTGTGACAAGAGTGGGATTCGAACCCACGCCCGAAGACAGCGGTGAACTCAAGGAGCTCTGGATTTCAGAATGACCTGAACGCTGCGCCTTAACCACTCGGCCATCTTGCCCGATCGATGTTAGTCTAGCTCCTTTTAACATCATATGATATCTGGTCATTGTGCTGAGGGCCCAAAGAAGAGGCAACGCCTGATCGCGCCCAGGTGGCGGCTGCTTGTCGGGCCTGCCTGTCCAGCCTCGTCCATTTAGTGTCTGGCCGCGGTCAAGGAAGACCGACACACGGGCAGCCTGGGATTCCAACTGAACCGCGGCTGAAGACGCCTTCAAACCTCTCCTAGACGACGAACGACGCGGCCGCCGTTGTCAAGCTGGGACGATGACGGAAATCTGGCTGTGTGTGCGTGTGTGTGGATTCGTATGGTATGCCTTCGATCTGCCCTGCCCTCTGGAATGTATGACTGTACAACCACTGCCACCTTTGCCCCGCAAGCTGCCGTACCACTATCACCATCACACGCCCCGTCACTTGAGCAGGCCGAACCAGAGGTCGGGCCTCTCGACGAGCTGCTTCCACCTGCCGACGAAGCGGGCGAGCTCGACGCCCTCGAGCACGCGGTGGTCGCCCGTGAAGCTGACGGGCATGATGAGGCGCTTGACGATGCGGTCCTCTTCCTCGGGCGACAGCGAACCCTTCTTGTACCCGGGCACGTCCGACGCGAACCGCGGCTGGTGCCGCGACCTCCCCATGGCTCCGATGGCCAGCTGGCCCGTGGGCGGGATGAGCGGGTGCGTGTAGGTGCCCCCGACGGTGCCGATGTTGGACAGCGTCACCGTGCCCGTCGCCCGCAGGTCCGACGGGCTCAGCCCGCTCCGCGATGCCGAGAGCGTCTGGAGGCGCGTCACCGAGGCGGCGATGTCGAACACGCTCTGGCGGTCCACGCCGGGCAGGCAGGGCGTGAGCAGGCCGACGCGCGACGAGAGGGCAATCGAGATGTCGTGCGAGGCGCGGCGGTGCAGCTTGGCGGCGCTCGAGACGGCCTTGGCGTCCATGCCGGCCGCGTCGGCGGGCAGCGAGAGCGTCGAGCGGAAGAGCGGGTGCTCGTCGAGGGCGAGCGAGAGCGCCTTGAGCAGCAGCGGCAGCAGC